TGGCCCCACCGTTGCCGAAGCCATAAACTATGGCGGCCCTGGTTGGAGCATTGAAGGTTACTCTGAATGCAGCCCCAATTGCGATGGATTTCCTATCCCAAATGCGTTCTTAGAGTTCCGTGCCCCGAATGAACCACAGCGCGAGCAAGGCGACGAAGTTTCACAGCCAGTTCACGGCTTGGTCCAGCCTCAAAGACGCGAGCGGCTTCCTAGAAACCGTCTACCAGCGCCGAATCGGGACGGTAAAGCGACAGGGAGCGAACTTAGGATGAACAAGCAACAGGTCAGATCCCAAAAGAGGCGCAGAGACGAACCGTTCCCGCAACACTCTAGGAAAAAGACCATGATGCACCGTTCAGTTGATATGATAATGACTGGAACCGAGATCTCCAATGATCTGGTCTCGCGGATGGTGACAGCTATTCAGAGTAGAGACGCAATCCAGCAGTTCTTCGATATTGTCAACGGTCGTCGAGACCCCGAACCTACAGCGATACAAATATATCTCACCACAAATGCGTCCAAAAGACAACTTCGGGTCCTAGATGCAGCCCAAATGCTCGAGAACGATGTGAAAATCATCCATATGCTTTCACGCAAGACTGCCTTTCATAACTTCCTTACTCGGTTGTTCCAAGTCCGTCTTGCCGATCATATCGACGAGATCAACCAAGGCCGTCTAAGGACTGACCCAGCTGTCATTGGAAAAATCCTTAAGCGCACGGGGATGAACCGCCGCCAGTGGAAGCAACATCGAACTGAGGGGGCGCAGTGGCGGGCATACTGTAAGGCGTTTCCAGGTATCCTTTGCTTCATCCCCTTCGAAACTCAAAGATTTGGCTTTTCGCCTACATCTTGGCTCAACCTCGACGAAGGAGACTTTGCCTCGTTACTTTCTCATCTGAAACCCGAGTATATGTCATCTCTCTGCGTCGCGGGCAGAGCATTTGAACACTCCCTGGATCCCGCGGCAGACGATGTCGACTTCATCTGGGAAAACCTGAGCATATCACTGGACAAAATTTCGGACAGAGAGTTAGTCTCCATTCTGGAAGTCTTCCCAGCAAAGGACGAAAACATATATAATCCCGATGCGTACCCAGATTGGCCCAGACCAGAAGAATGGCCCAATGATTCACCGTGGCCGGTTGACCCAACATCCCTGCCTGCTTCTGGTGGGATTGAGTGCAAGTTGTGTCATCAGAGCAATTGCCCTTGTTACCTGTGCCATAAGAGAAATTGCCATTGCGCCGCTATTCGTCACGACATACAGCCTCGCATCCGGAATTATGAAGACAAGTACGAGGCCAAAAACCGAGGTCTACAAGCCGTCGCGAAGGAAGCGGGCCAAATCGCCTATTCCAAGGGCACCATTATCGCCTTCCTTACGGGGGTATTGACGCCTCCCGACACGTACGACAACGGTCAATGTATACAGGTAGACCGAAGCGATATCCTCGGCGAGCCCACAGTCGCCCAGATTAACTGTACTGAGTCCGGCAATATCTCTCGACTGTTCAATCACAGTTGTGACCCATTGGCCCGCTTCAAGGGCATGAGGGTATCAGGGAAGTTTAGGATGGCAATCGTTGCTGAAGAAAACATTTATGATGGGGAAGAAATCACTGTCCACTACGGCCAACAGTATTGGAGAAGGCAAAAGTGTCGATGTCCTGTATGCCGGTTAGCCGGCAAACACCCATGGCGAGAAGATCACCGTCAATTACGGGAACAGGTCGCTGAGGGGCGAGAAACATCTTTGCATTGATGCTAATAGCTAGACGATTGGAGTGCTTACACTGCCGAAGGCGTGAGTCTTCGCTACAGACAGAAAAAACGATCATCCTTCGACCAGACTAGAATTACGCGAAAATACGGTATTTCTAGTCTGGACTGGCCCATGCGTGAATGGTCTGGTCCATCCGGGTATGGCGGAAATTTATTTCTTGGATGGCGCCATTCCTGCTTCGACGCGAACACTGCGTCTTGGCGTGAAACACTAATTAGGTGCATTTCCACATAACATTGTTTCATAGAGATAGCAAGAAAATCAATCGATTCTATCAACTGCAGTCCTACAAAAAGCATCGAGAATTGAGACATAACTTGCAAGATTCAATCCAGAATTAGCATGTAATTGGTTATTTTCGCCGCTAGGAATATGAGTCTAGCAGGTTCCTGAAGGTACTGGTCAAATTTCCGAGGATACGGATACTCTAATACATGAGACACTGCCTGATTTCCAATGCTAAGATATTACTACTGAATCTCGCACTGTTCGGAGCGGCTTTCACCACCGTATTGGATATGACAAGGGGGGATTCCAACCTCCTTGTCATGGGCACGAATATCGAAAATCTTACGAGATAGACAGAGACCTTTCGAAAAGTTGGAGAGATACCATGGTATCTGCACAGAAACTGGTAAAATCTTTCCCGCGAACTCAATTGTCATAGGGTGGAAGGAAGCGGACAGATAGACGTTGGAATCATTTCGTTCGAGGGTGTGATAGTTATATATGGAAGCCAAGGTACAGTGGAGAAATTTGGGAATCCTGAATACGAGAATTGGAGGAGAAATGCCAGTACGTAGATTAGCATTTTGTGGCGGCCATCTGGTACAACAACGGAGAGGTTTTATATCTGCAAGACGTTGATCTGGATTATTCGAGAAATTGACCGTGCGCGCCGAACCGTCACCTTCAGGTTTGGTATTTCTAGCTGGAGCATCAGAGAAAGTGCTTCAATGAAAGCAACACCACTACGAACGTCGA